TTGCTCCAGGTACGGCCAAAGTAGCCCCCGCAGAGTTTGAGTGTTGCGAGCTGCAAATCCGCTATGCTGTATAGTGCGGCAGGCGGCGGCCGTTCTGTAGTGTATGGCGGCGGCGCCGGCACCCGTGCCAAGCCATTATGGTGTGCCGATAAACAGTAATGAGAGCCGGACGCGGCGGGCGGCGGCACTCGCCACGGACAGCGCTCCATTGGCATACAGCGTATAGCCACGGTCTGTCCGTCTGCATTGTGTCCCGGGAAATACAGCCTCGCCAGGCTGGCACGTAATAACACGTGCATTGTGCATGTGACAGACATACGCATATGGAGTGACCACTGGAGGAGGAGGAGAGTGGAGGAGGGGACGTGCAGAAATACCAGCCAACGTCGACGGCACCGGAAGAATGTGAGGCCACCCGCCTGACCGGCGCAGGCGCAGTGTGCGGTCAGGATTTACAGTGACATCATATGCTAATCACTAATACCACACACCCAGCGGAAAGCCGCGAGTGATTCACGGCTGTTGATACCGTGCTGTGCTGCCAGCAGGACCAGCCTTTCCCATGTAATATGTCTGATCAATCGCAGGCACAACCACACACGCGATTTAGCCGTGTGTTCCACTCCTCTCGTGCCACCTCTCATGCTGGCGCTCCAACACACCCTTCCGGCCATCCGATCGGCCGTGCAGCCCATCAACTTGTTATCCTCACGCCTCAGTCGCTACATGCCTCCTGATTCGTCATTGAGCTCAGCCCGATGCTACCACCACCTGTTTACATAAACCTCCGCCGTGCCGCCGCTGCAGAGTCGAGTACGACCGTCTGGGTCGGACGAACCGGCGCGGCGGGTCCTCTGGGACCGTGTCACCAAACCACACCACCCAGTGCTCTGGGTAGAGCGACACCCGACTCCGGTCTGAATCAGCCCGATCACCCCCCAATCTGCCCGGCCCACCGCCCCCAGGCGGCGACCTCTGCCCCCTGATCCCGCACCTCGCATTCCAGAGCACCAGGACCGCCAGCCGCCCAAACTGTGTATAACCGTCCATGGGTGAAATTAAACATGAGCGCCATGGGTGACAAATGTCGAGTGAGGCCGACGGCGCTCATCATGGCCTGTGGCGCCGGTGGTGGCTCTCTGTGTGGCGGCTGTCAGACAAAACCCACAGCGCTTGTGAGGTGGTATGATCCACCGCAGACACACCGTCCGAGTCCCATTGAGGTTAGCTTGGTGACCAAGCTGAGAGGTCAACCCAGCACGAGCACACAATACACAACAAACCGCTGGAATGCAGTTGAGTCATCCGCGACCGCTTGACACAGCACAAGGTCAAACAGAGGGTGACAAGATGCCATGTGGTGCAGGTGACAGAGGTCAAGGGTCCCGTGACCCTTTGTGGCCAGCTGCACAGTGCTGATGCCACCCAAAGCCAGCCGCGCCTCTTTAGTAAGGCCTAATCCGTGCCGCGAGGAATGCTGAGTCGCTGACGCGGCCCCTGACGCGGCCAATGACGCGCTGGCTGACAGCACTGACGCTGGTGTGGAGGCAGCAGGGGTGGTCGCTCGGGACACCGTGGCGACGCCCGAAGCCGCCACTGACCGAGGCGGCTTATAAACGGCGGAGGGCCTGCCTTTAGCAGCTTGGGCGGCGCCCCAGTCGTCGCTTCTGTCCGCCCCGAAGCGTTCAATCATCGGCTTCGGGCCCACCCGCGCAACAGCGCGTCATCCAGCTGCATCGGCCGCTACCGCCCCTTTCGAAACATGTTGGAGGACCCCGAGAAACGAGTGACCACAAGCTTGATTCAACGAGATGCACAAGTGCGGGCCGCGGAATAACGTGTGGGACATTCCGAGTGGCCAGCAGCGTAGAGTGAAAAGCAGCCTAAGAGTCTTCGTATAGGGGCATTCCATGTCAACCGGGACAGCCAAAATCGGTCACCTCTGCGATTTTATTCAAAGTTGGTGTACTTATTCGCTATTGGGTAAAACCTCTGTGGGTGAAAGGATTTTGTCATATGCCCTCGGGCTACAGAGATACAAGTCGCTAAACTTCTGCTTTTTGAGCAGAATTGGACGTGTATTGCAATCTTGAAAGATCTATAGCTTCAACATTTTTGAAGCTATTAATTTCAAACAAACTGAAACGGGTACATAAGGAGTTATGCTAGTAAAATTTGACAATTTTTACATTTTTTGGTGATTTTGAATTTATTTTATTTTGAATTAATTTCTTAAAATGTAATTTGTGAAAAATGGGTACCCTTCGATTTTGCTCAAATTTAGATATTGTCTTCCACTACACGTAAGGCACACGTGCTGAGAAAATTAGAGTGGGCCAACGATAACTTTGGATGATATAGCAACAAGTAGTGCAACGTAGCACGGGCGTTGGAAGGGGCCGATTTCGCTAACTCCACCTGTTTATCGCCAATAACTCACACCATAATTATTATATTAGCGTCAAACTTTCAGTATCTGTCCAAAATCGAATTGCAAATCCTCCCGCGCAAGAAATAGGTAAATCGGTCCACAACTTTTCTAGTTATAGCGGTGTAAAGTCAAACATTCCTGCCGGAGCGGCTCGGCGGCCGGCGCCGGCCGTTGCCGCCTGAGTGGTAGACTGTGCCGGCGCAGGACGGTTCCATCTTTGCACCGCGCTTCTTACCGCTGATTATGATCGATTCGTGTCAAATTTTGTGTGAAGGCTTAAAAATATACAGGCAATCTAATGTTTAAATAAATACGAAAATCAACTGGTAAAATTAAACTATTAGCCATTAGGGTGCAAACACAATATGTGACTATGACGTTTCCCGCGTCGGCCGATCCCCGCCTCTGCCGGCGACATCTTACTCTTAGCAAGCCACTGCCAAATTTATGGTAAGATTAACTAGAGATTCTCATAACATTACAAATGTCGTATAAAGGAAGAAATAGGAAAATGGGCCAGTATCTCTTAGAGCTATGGGCGTATAAACGCAAAATAGTCACTATAGCAAATTTGATCACGTTTAACCTCATTTGATCTTGAATGTATTGATCTAGGGCCATGAAACTGGCACACGATAAAGTTCCCCACCGCCCCACCTACATTTCAAATTCCGTTTTTTAATACCTTATTTTGTCTAAACCGGGCTTTTCTCCCCTAGCGCTGGGAGAGTCTGGCGTATTTTCTTTTTGCAACCAAAGAGAGGCGCTACCCGGAGAATGCCCAATTTCATCATTAAAAAACTGACTTACGATGACCAGCTATTTTCGTGGCTTAGTAGTAAGTGTGCCGAATGTACCCACCTCGAAATCTAAAGGTCGCTGGCTCGCAGCGCGGGTCAGCCTGAGCCCTGAAGTGTTTAACACACATTTGTTTTTGTGGCATCTGGCCAGCCGGCAAAGTTGTGAGGGCTAATGTTCGGATCTAGGTAGCATTTGCCCAGTCGGCAACTGCCGTGAGGGCTGTACAGTGTACATATTTACGCGTGTTAGATTAGGTCAGGTCACGTCAGGTCAGGTTAGGTTTGCTTTGGTTTGGGGTAGGTAGAAAGAAGCATCTCCAGGTAGCGCCTCTACTTGGTTGCTAAAACGAAACACGCGAGTGCCAGACATTACGAAGTCCAAAAGACAGTTACGTAGACGTCGGCCCATTCTGGATTTTTTATATGATGTAGCTAATGTATAGGAGAATAAAATATGTAAAAATCAGCAAAATCGAAGGGTACCCATTTTTCAGAAAATTAAAATTTATTCTTTGAATTTTAATTAAGTTCACTAATTAGTTAATTACGTCAATATTGTTATCCTCAAATGAAAGCCTGACCTATTCCCTCCATTTCACACTTTGTCTCGTGGTGATATGTCTAAAACTTCAATGGTTATGACGCTTTAAAGATGATAATGTGCCTTGCCTAAGTCAATGTTTGATGACGTGTATCTCGGAAACGTGACGTCATATCTTGACAAAAATATGTCTCCTTTCTTTTCACATATAGATGAGTAGTTTCACAAAGTTTCGCAAAAATCGGAGGGGGTGAGGTTCAAAATGGTCATTTTTTGTCCCACTTGACGTGGCATGCCCCTATAGTGATTTGGAACGGCGGAAGAGCGCTTGAAATCAGCGCAGAAAGTTGCGTCTCACGGGGCCGTTACGGTTCCCACGCAGGTTCAGATTGTGGCCCGGGCGGTCTTGCCTGGACTGGTCCCACAGCAAAAATGCACCGCCGATAATCGTCTTAACACGGAGACTTCTCGCTCGAGCGGAGACCGACACGGAATATCGGCGCACCCCGCACCACTTTCCTCCACACTCCACGAGCTCACTTAGCCATTACTTGAATCACCGCGGGCTTGGCTCGGAGGAGTGACGTCACATTCTGACACACTTTGGTCGGAGGTCGAGCGGTCGGTCGCATTCTGGATCGGTGAATATGGGTAATTCTGGGGGCACCTTTGGTTTCCATATACCGCAGTCGGCGCCCAATACAGGCAGAGCCGCTGCAGGGTGCGGCCAGTAGACACGCAATCCCTCGGCGCGAGCGCAGATATAGCCGGGGCTCTGGTCGTATGCTCGCTTGTCTCCGGGCAAGCCGATCTCCACAACATAGTCCAGAGGAAATCAATATCACCACATTGAGCTACGCACTGGTTGATGGCTGACATCTATTAAGAAATATCCATTATGAACTGCCCAACTTTCTGACGCGGTTAGGATTACAAAACACAGATGCCCGCCGCCCGTCCAGCTTCAGCAATCAGATCGAAATCAATAGAATGCGTGCATCACGACTGAGCAAACAGGATATTGTGGTCTTACGCCATACAGGCACGGATGATGAACATTCGCACTGTCCCGCGGGTAAAGGGAGTTCACACTCACGCTGTCCGGAGGGTATGGAGAAGGGAGGTAACACTCACGCTGTCCGGGGGTATGGGGGAGTTAACACTCATATGGGGAAGGGAGTTAACACTCACGCTGTCCGGCGGGTGTGGGGAAGGAGTTCACACTCACGCTGTCCGGAGGGTATGGGCGGCAGCAGGTCGGTGCGCGGGGTCCCGCAGGTCAGTGTGTCCTGCCCCGTCTGAGTGGCGTTGGTGATGAGCGTCCTGCCCATCAGCGTGAAGGCGCACAGGAAGCTGCCCGACTGCTGCAGCTTCGGCAGGTTGTTGATGGTCAGCGTCAGCTGTGAACACAGAGGGAGAAACACCGTCAGTCACAGGGGTCACGTCATCGGCCCGGGGGTCATTCACCACCCGACCTTGACGGCGGATCATGGGCGGAACCAAAACAGGGAAACTATGAGACAAAGAGGCGTATTGCTGTGAGTGACAGGAGTTTCAATCGCGTGGTCAACTTGTGATCTGATTTAGGAAGGTCGCGATCAAGTCGCTAAAAGGTGAGCGTCGTGACAAGTTCAGTTCCTTATCGCCTTATCTTCCGGATAACATAAACCGAACGACTTGTCTTTCAAAAACTCCGATGTGAACTGGGGCTATTGACCTCAGCTGTTCCGTGCCGGCTGACAAACGTTGACAGCTCTGGCAGGCAAATTCTCAGAGCCCTCCCGATCGTGGCTTCCACATAAAACTGTAACTGCGTCACGACAAAACGCCGATTTCCTGTCCGTAGAGTGCCCCGGGCGCGCACGACCGGCTAAGCAGTACATCCGGGCAAAGTGTGGTCGGATAGGTTCCGTGCGCTCCCGGTGGCCATGGGACCGCGGACAGCGGACAGCGGGAAACTGGACGGTGGGTGGTGGATATGTGCGGGAGGCATCAGGGCGGCGACCGGTGAGGGGCAGTGGCAAATGAGGAAACGAGCGGAGTTGTAATCTGAGCGCGTCGAGCAGGTGCTGTGGGATGGGATAAAACAGGGATGGTGGATATAAATAAAGATCGGCAAGCTCCAATGCGGCTCCAACTTCGTTACCTACAGCCTACAGGCCAGCGATTTGGATGTCATCTTCAGAACCCGTAGAAAATGTGGACTCAAGCACCGTCGGTGGTGTCCAGTGCAGACGGGAGATCGCCATCCATTCCCCAGTCGCGAACCAGTCGCCAGTCGGATAGGAGACTTCTTCATGAGTCACCACCACCACCCGGCTCAGCACCGCCCGGTGTTTATTTGGTGTCGGCCGGACGCCCATGACGAAACGCTCGCCAAGGGGCGTGCGGCAGACGGCAGACGGACGTTGGCGGTGTCCCAGGGTCACGGAGAGGTCATAGAGGTCATAATAAGACTGCAGATCAAATGGAGACCCCCAGGCAAACAGCAAACCTTGCAAAATATAATATGCACCAGCCACAAAAGCAAGCGCGATCTTATATTTAAATTCGCCCAGATAATACAGCCAGAATCCTTGAAACAATGCAGGGTCTAGAAAACGTACCACTTACGTGCCTCAGAGGGCATATGAATTCCTGAACAATATCCCGCAACAGACACGAAAGCCTGCATCCGAATCGGGTCAAGGACCTCGGTACACACATGTTCCACCCACCAACAGCGCAGCATCTGCCTCCTTCCAAGGACCTGATTATTCCTAGCGCATTGCATCAGACGACGGGCGTCATCCACTAGCAAACATCCAATATCGATACGTGTGGTGAGCGCATTCGCCAGCGTGCAAGGCGTCGGTGCGAGCGTTGTACTTGCGAGTTCTCCGCTGTTCCTACAACGCGACACACCCTCGGACAGAACACGTTATCTCGCGATATCACCAATTACAGACGTGTTCAGTCTTTGTTTTGTGATAACTTGAGCCACACCTGTGCGCACTTTTTTAGGTATGTACAATTGCACACTGCACAACTTGTTCCGAGTTGAGATGAGGACGTCTGCCGCCGGGCCCCTCGGTGGTGCACATCATCTCACAGCTCGTCGCGACATCCAGCGACACAGTAAACACTCCGCTCCGGTTACAGGCTGCGCCTCGACGGCGCCGTCGGGTTCCTCTCGGCCGCCGCGGCGCCGAATCTGGTCCTCCGCGGCAGACCAAACACCGGAAACACGACCCATCGGCCCTTCTACCCGCGCGTCTTCACTCATACACATCATCAGTTATCAGCAGCACGTCAGCTCTGCACCGCAGCAGCGCCCAGCCGCACGCCGGCGCCGCCACCCCGGTCACACGTAGGCACCCAGGCGTGTTTGTCCACTTGAGAGCTCGTCATTCATCTGAAGAGCAGCTCACACAGCGCGAACGGCTGGAGCGAGGTTCACACAGGGCCGCTGTGACATCTCCCTGTAACGTTCTCCGCGTCAGGAGGAAGCGCACCACGATCGTGACGTCACCGCCAGTCACGGGGGTCCGTTCGTCACTGGTACCGTGACGCCCCATTGAGTAAGCGATGGAGGCTGACTGATGGTGAGTGGGCTGGCTGGTCACCGACAACGGCAGAGCCTCAGTGAAACTCCAGCGGCGGAACGGGCCCCTAACATGGCGCCGCCTGTGAGACATGCGTGCCGCACGCATACGGCATAGACTCTCTCTATTGATATCAAGCACACATGAGTTATGTCCGGCATTCAATAATATTCAGTATTAACTGAGACGACTGACATATTGCTCCTCTGCCGCCAAAATCTAGCAGACGCCGGAGACCAGACGGCACGCGGCATATTTTTCTCCCGAACCTCGCTACCACCACCGGTTTGTATATGTCCCCTCGGCAGCACCGCCGTCCGTTCGAGCTCTCTCCGACTCCCTGGGGCCGTCGGCTGAGTCCATAGGTCAGCCCTCCCCAAACAAACGCGGTGACCGGTCGTGTCGCGCCGTCCGAGACACGCCCGCTGGGAGATACGAGCCGTGACGATGACCGGCGTCTGCTGAGCGTCGTCCCAACCGACAGACCGCTAGACCGACAGTTTCTTCCTCCGATTGACCATTCGATGTTCGAATACATCCGACATGCCCGGTCGGCAGATAGATCGAAGGATCATTGGACAGATCGACAAATAGTTTGACCGCTGCGCCGTGCCGGTCTGACAGACAGATTCTAGCAGCAAGCGGGATGGAAGCGATCTGCTGACCGGAAGCCACTCTTCACTGTAGGTATTTGACCAGAGGACCACCGCCGAGCCCCAGGGAGGGCCTGGTGCCGGGAGTGACACATCGCCACCCCTGGTCCGCCTGATAACGGGCCGATTCGTCAGGAAGGAGGCATGTTTACTCGTCTCCACTGCACCCTGCCTTCAGTGGTCCTGCGCTATGGGGACGACAGGAGCCACCGACGCCACCATCGCGCGTCCACTGGTCGGCAGGTAAACCCACGCTGTCGGTAAAAAGTAGTGGACCCGGCCTTTTCTTACCTAGCCGACGTCTGCCCAGTCGGTGTCACCATCCTTTTCTGCCGCCCGCTGTCCAGCCGCGAGGGTCGGGTCAGGCGACGGAGAGGGAGCTAGCGGGCGGTGGGAGAGCGGGCGACCTCGGAGGGCAGGTCACCCTGGTCCCCGCCCCCGCTGACACAGTCGGCCCGTCTCCCAACAGACACGGTACTCATCACGGCCGCCCCAAACGACAAAACACAGCCGCAAAAACGGCAACGAATTGAATTCCGTCCCGCCAGCCGTGCGCTTTTTGTCATCTTGTCATCTTGTGCGCGCGGGCGGGTCCGGTCCGACTCGCGGTCGACCCCAGCCGTCCCTGGGACCCGTGTCACCCTGTCCCAGGTAGGCGTGGACCAGGTCACGTGACCGTCCCCGCTCCCCGGAGACGAGCTTCTCTCAGCGGGCCGGCCGATCACGTGACCGGTTCGATTAGGCCCGGCCGGACAAGCAGACCAGGCACGACTGGGGCATAAATGGATCACAGCACGGCCCGGGCACGGTTCGAGCTCCTCTGGGACGTGGTCATGGGCGTGGTCAGTCGCTGGGGAGGGTAACGGAGCCAGGGGTGTGCTCCGGGCGCGGTAAGGCGACCGGGTCACGGCGGTCAGCTCGCCGCAGCTGTGAGCGGCTGTCAAGTAGCGTCACAGGAGCATTGCAGTTGTTATCAATGTGCGGGTGAGCGGCTGGTCGTCTCAAAGCGCAGACCGAAAGCGGTCGCTGTCCTTTTTGTTGAATTTAGGAAGCCAAACATAAACGTGGAATATGCAAGCTATGCCTGAAGTCATCTGTTAGACAAGTGTTTATAGAGTGGGCGGCCGCTACACAGGGTCCTGGGCAATCGCGAATCCTGCCTAAACATTCGCAATAAACTCGCCGAACCGGCGCATTAAATCAGCTCCTACATTCGTAGTAAATGCGCCGAACTGGCGTATTAAATCAGCTCCTTCTAATTGATAGCAGACGGGTTTTCCAATCCACTACTCTATGGAAGTTGGAACTGCCAGGAAGTCTTTACCCAGATTTGACCGCGATTATGTCCACCAGCACCCTGCTTTATGATCAATGATAGTCATGAAGTTGGGCGACCTCGCCTGGCCGACTCCGTGTTAACGCCGCGGCGCCATGGGAAGTCCGCCCTGTTCGGCCGCAGTTTTATTGTCAATCAGCGGATGCACGCGCCGTGGAATCGTAATCCTCCGTCAAACGGCCGATTTTTGGCGTAACTCAGCCCCGATAGGCACGAACGACATGTGTAGCCTGGTCTTCGATATACCGAGCCAGAGACACGGACACCTTTGTCGGGCGAACGGACCCCGCGGCGCGGATACCGCGAGTTGTGCTGTCACCTCGCCACGACACAGTGCTGGGAACGAAATCGGCAAGGATGGTCCCTCTCGCTTCTTCACGGAGTTCAACTGGGCAGTGTACCCGACCGAAGGACGATATTTACCACTGGAAATAAATACTCTGGATGCCGCTGGCACGCTGGACAGGAATCGATGTCGTGTGCTGGTGACATGTCAGACACCACACCGGTGGTCTGTCAGCCACCGCCCACTACACGCAGCGCTCAACCACAAATCCCGGGCATCGATGAAAGGGAGCACTCAAGCATCCTGTTTGCTTGTTTTTTCCGCTCGACGACGTTCAAATAACGCTGTTTTTGTGCTGGCTGCGGCTTTCATCAGACTCCAGCACGTTATTTGATATTTTAATCAACTGAATTCAAACAGACATTGTTTTTCGGCCGGTGTGGCTGTCAGAAATGCTGCTGCCGGCTCAGCCACATCAGTCGGCCGCGGCAGAGCCAGACGCCCCTGGCCGGCGGCGGCAGCGGAGCGTTTGGCAGGAGGCGGGTCTCGGACGGAGCTCTGTGCGCGCGCCGGATCATTTGTTAGTAAAACATCCGGACCGGCGCCGAGAACACGTCCAAACAAAACGGTCCCGAACGTACCCTACGGGGGGAGGGGACAGACGCTCGGGCAGAGTGGCCGGCGTCCAGTGGGCTCGTGGTGGTCACATACTGAGCGTCACAGAAGCATGACGAGACCACGGCGTCACGACGTCACGGGAACGTCCAAACCGAATAACCAGCCGTCACGAATCAGTATATCACACCCGTGTCACTTGACGGCTGACCTCTTACGCAAGACAGCAACACGTGTCACGGGTGTCACTCCCTCACAAACGACACCAGTTTTTAACATGCATCCAAGGCCAGCACACAAAACACGCCCTGCTGCCACCTCTAAACGGGCCAGGCCATGACATGTTGACCAGGTTGTTACCCAAAAACGCCCCTGAGCTACCTCAGCTCTGTGGGCGGCAATTTCGCACCACGGCCGCCGCCGTTATATCTGCTGGGGCCATTAGTGGCCGGTTAGGCCGGGACCGTCTATTTTGAGCAGAAGCGGCACGTGGGCCCCGACCTAAGGTCATCCCGGGGGAGCCTGCCAGGGCGGAGCGCACCGGCGCCGCTCAGAAACCATCTATTCTCATAGAGAACACGGTGGCGAACGGCGCGGCGGTGCAGTGCGGTGGTGGTGCAGTGGTGGTATAGTGGTGCCGGCGTTGGTGCTGGCCGTCGACGGACGAGTTGTGTGTGGACAGTGGACTCTGGACACGGAATAGCTCACAATATCAGTTCCCTAACTCTCTCCCTACCATTTTCTCCTAGCATCGTCTCCTGTTCCACTAACACGACCGCCGTCAGTGCCGCCGCCGACCCGGCCCGGTTGAATAATGTATGGCTGGGAGCCGCGTCGGCTGAGACGGCAGCCGCAGTGTCGTGCGGGCCACACTCCGCCGCCCCCGTCTCCGTCCCATCTGCCTTCGGTCTCATACCGGGACGGTCACAGGGGAACGATCGACGCGCCCTGGAACGGCAGCTCAGAGACCAACAGGAGGCTTCCCCCGGCCGTGCAGCACCTCAGGGGCACACTCCCGTCACCCAGACAGTGCGGATATTCCGGCACCCAGCTCCGAGAAGCCGTCTAAACGATCCGTTTCTCCCATTAGAGCAGCGGCTTAATCTGGACCATCTCGCCGTATCTGAATGATAACTAGTTCGAGGAAGGTGTTCAGAAGCGGTGCTGACCGGTATCATCACCCAGACAGAGGTCACAACTCACAAAAGATTCTGGTTTCGAGCTCTGAGCTCACACCGGCACGCTGTCCCAGCCACGTCCCCATGTTCAGGTCCCGGCTGTGAGAGCTGGGGGGGGGGGGGGGGGGGCTGAAGGGAAAACGGGGAGCTAAAGAGAGAAAGGAGTTGCAGGAAGAGTGAAAAACCATAGGAAGGGCAGTGAGCTGTATGGAGCCATTGCGGAGCTGCGGATAGCCCTAGCTGTAAGGGAGAGAGCGCCGGCCACTCAGAGGTGTGGGGACCAACTCCCGTGGGTCTAGGACACCACCAGACAGCGGGAACAGCCGGTCCCCTCCGGACCAATAACAGGGCACTGGGCAGAAAACGAGCCATCGTGGCAGTTGTATCGGCCGGCCCAGCCACCGGCTCCCCTTCCAGCATACACAAAGTCCCCAGACCCAGTCAGCGGCAGTCAGCTGCAGCCTCTCTATCAGGACTAATGTTGAGGGGCTGGCGGCAGTCCCGTCTGGAGAGAAGCAATGAGCAGCAGAACAGTCTAGCCCAGCCCATATTGCATCCAGAACGGTACGACGAACAGCGGTTAAAAGAGTGGTCCGTCGTACCTCAGCCGTACCTACCAGTGTCGTACCTCCATGATGGCTCTGTCATAGCGACGTCATATCATTGCCGTACTTACGCCGTAACCTGCTGTACGGCTCACCGTCCCGGCGCGGCGGCGGTCGACCTAATGAAGATTGAATGGAAGCGCCGGCCGGAATGGCCCGTGCCAAGCGTCGTTCGCACCGACTATCCGCCGTGTTAACTGCACAAACGTCTGTGTCGACAAGGCTTCCCGACAATCGAACCCTCGCCCTCCCAAGCGGTGACCCTTCCTCCTAAAAAGGCAGGTCTACCTTCTCCAGACAGAGTCAATGAGGAAAACTGTACTAAAAATGTATGAAGGAATCCTGGAATGCTGTACAACCTGAACAGAAACAACCATGACAAGTATTTTGTGTGTAGAATGTGGGCCGTTGGTGTAAATACCGAGTGTTCTTTTTGGAAACATCAATTAATAACACAGCGTAACATCATGACAAGTGCACCTCAGACCAGCGAGCTCGAATAACGGAATAAAAAATGAATTTTCCTCGGATAAAGAGCGATGCGCCGGGCGAAGTCCACGGCGAATGAGGCGCTGTCCCGCACTGGCAACGGCGTTGTTTTGTCAAACTTCTGCCAAACACTGGGAGCTGTTTTTGCGAGCATCAAAACAAAAGCGTTAGTGTGAGATAGAAATGGTTCTGCGACACCTGAGCGAGCGTCATTTCAGCGAACGACATTTGAGCGAAGCCTTTTCAGCGATTAGCAATTTAAGCGATTGACTTTTTCAGCGATTGTCAAGTCGGCGAATTCAATCACAGCGATTATCAACTTAAGCGAGGACCAGAATCAGCGAAACCAGATTGAGCGAATATATGGAGGTCAATGGGGGACCAATTGAGCGAACACAGTTACAGCGAAACCGAACGCGACGGAAATCAATCATTTCTACTTTTCGGGAATTCTTGCCCTTGGAATACCCGCTTGGTATGTGTTATGCTTCAAGCTGCGCGCGGCAAATTAAAAATTTTCTTTTAAGCTTGGAAACCACAAAAATATCTGGCCTCATTCTGCAACTTTGATCTGGAAATGTGGAACGTGAGAGATAGGACGATGGAAGGAATGCCAAGGACCAATAATAAACTCGAGGGATGGCACAGGGGGATCCAGTCTATGTTTCAGGGACCTCACCCAAATATCTGGAAATTCGTACGTTGCTTGGGGCAAGAACAAATTTTACAACATGGGGAACTGATCCAAATTCAAGCGGGGGAATTTCGCGAAAAACAGCACAAGCAATATGAATCTCTGAACAAATGTTTTTGGTCATCATTATTGGCAAACAGCAGGGGGGGGGGGGGTCGAACCACTGGAATTTTTAGAAATGTGGCATTTTTAGAAATGTGGAGGGAGCTGTCAGTGGACGATGTCCTCCGGTGACAGAGGTCCCTCCCTCCCGGGGATGTCTCCGGTACTCACCGTTCGCGCAGTGGTAGCCTGCAGCTGGTGAGGATTCACAGACTCGATCGTCGTACACCGGTCCGACTTGTAGTTGATCCAGTAGAGTACGTCCTTGTCGGCGTCCTGGCACCGCGAGCGAACGCTGCACCTGAAACACGGGCAGGTAACCACGGTCATGGAACAGAACGACACATGTGGTGCAACACACATAAAGGTGGCTAGAGAGTAGACTGTTTTTCGCGACACTGGAAATATGGGCTGATCGGTCGCGGGCACGACACACATCCGCTCGACACAAATAGCAGCTCTACATAGATGAGTAAGTCTGAGTGCCTTTTGACTTCCGAGGAGCCTAGCGCTCTTTGAGCGCATGCAATATTTACCGAGCACTCAGCCTTTCAAATACCATCAGAACCTCGCAAAGCCATGTCGCTCCTCCAGTAAAATGCCGTTTGATTTCAGCTCGTCTTTACGTATGCTGAGGGTCGACACTTGACACCTGCATCAGTAGTGTTTAGTGTACTGCAGAAGGTGTCACGACACTTACAGTGTTTATGCGGTGTCACTGCTATACGATGTCACTGGTGTCAGCCGCTGCGTCGGTCTGTGTCAGACGGTGTGTCAATCCGTGTCCCCGGCTCTGACGGCCGTCGTAGATCCCAATTCGAACAGGTCCACATCAATCCGGCTCCGAGTCAGTGACCACGACTGGAGAATCAGTCAGCGTCGTCTGGCTGAGCCACTGAACAGTCGCGACCGCCCACATGCCAATACCAGGAGAACACTCGTGGATCTCGTGACGTCACAATGATCGTCTATGACGTAACACCCATGCTGAGTCTGCCGCCGGCGCGGCGACTTGGAACGTCTGGTAAGTTATCGACACAGGACAACTTACTTACCGCCTTGTAAACAGTGAAGCACTCCCTCCCACTGACCCCGCGAGGTGCCAACACAGGCAGCGTGACGCCCACATACAGGAGGCACACAATCGAGCGGCCGTTCCATTCCTGGTGTGGGAGCGCCGCCTGAACACAATCGCACGTCACCAGGAGCTGTCCAAGAGCTGTCGAAGCCCTGTCGCCGGCTGTCGGAGAACTGTCGAACGCCGCCCCGACAGTGTCGTGCCCCACGTCGCGCCGATGGCAAAGATGCGTCACAACTGTCACAAAGTTGCCGCAGTGGCGGCGCAGCGCGTGCGATTTGATGGCCAGGGTCGCAAGCCGGCCCTGGCGCGACCTCGAGAGGACAGCACGTCAACTTCTCGGAAGCCTTATGCGCAGGACGCTTCATGACGGCACAAAGTGCGAGCCCCGCCCGTCCCGGTCACCGAGGAGTCCTGACACCATGTCAGGCCCAGAAAGTCGCTGCATTAGGTGACACACAAGCATGCATAAATACATACAGACATGCAGACCAAGATTCGCCCGAAGGACAAAGTACCGGGGAGCCCATGCCGTAAGTCATACTCGGCGTGCAGACAGCCTTCGGAGTGAGTGCGGTCTGCAAATTCAGGGACATCCCATAGGACGGGGAGCAGACAATGGGGCGGCAGCAGCGATCACAGTCAGCAGGAGACCGCCGCCATGGCATGGCCTAGGAGAGGTGCCCGAGACAAAGGGTGTCGGTACTGGTGGCGGTGAGCTGGCCGCGCCCACCCCATATTGGACAGAAGTGGGGGATGGTCTACGGATGAGATGAAACGGTGTGGGGGATGATGAGGCCCCAGGATCTTGAGCAATGAAGGGCGCGGCCTCCACTCATAGTCATTGTCATTGCGAGAAGATGTTAGATGACTAGTGCCAGGCGTCGGACATCGCGTGATGGTAACCGTCAAAAATTGTGTTCCACGTCTGGGGTTGCTGATACCGATACTGACGCCAGGTATTGATCCGCCTCCTATCGGCCTCGGTATCTAGTTCTGCAGAATGGGTCACTCCATCACCGCAGCAGGCAGCACGCCGGACAGTAAAGATCAGGTGGCGACGACCTGACCCAGTGAGGGCTCGTCGAACCGGACTGACGATCGACGCCGACCCCTGAAATACGACAGCGTCACCGAGAGCCGATCAGCACATCGAGAACCTGATCAGTCAATTACGAAACGTCCCAAAGCCCTTTCGTGGGGACATGTCGTCAATCAAGAAAATCGCAGCAAAGCCGATAATGTCCCGATTCGATCAAGATTAAAGGCTACCGGGCTGTTCACAGAAGTTAAACAGAAGCGCATCATCTTTGAAGAAGGCGTTCACACGGGCCACATCGCACGGCATGTTTCGTGACCGGCATTTTCTCGTGTTGCCCGAACTGTTGCCCGGCCGGATCGCGTATCACGTCAGGAGCTGGTCGGCCCCTCCGTAAACGTCTGCGCCGCCATCAGATGGACAAATCCCGGCTCAGCCGAAACTTTACCTGGCCGCCGTCTGTTTTACACGACGGCCGCTTAACCAGCACACCTCCATGCATCACTGGGGCGACTTCCGCATCGTCGAGCGGCCCGACAACAGCGTACAGCCCGCGCCGCGATACCCGAGACGATCGGTAAATTAGGGCCGACAGCAGCGGCGACGTGCGGGTCAGCCGGCCGGCCGGCGCGCCACACAATGTCCCCACACCACTCGGCTGCGGTGGGCGGTGCGCGGTGGGACGTCAGACCGGCGCCAGAGCCGGCCGGCCGGCCCGTGTCACCGCCGGACGGCCCTGCCGAGGCACGTCACGCCGCACCGCGCAACACTGGCATGCGCCCACCGCATGTATTATGCATCGTGCTCTCGGCTGGCGATGTTTAAAGCCCCGCCGAGCCGGCGCCGGCCCGTACACCACCGCCGGCGAAAGTGAGGCTGCTTTTATTAGGCCCATTTGGGGCCGGCGTGGTCAACCTATACCCCGGTAAACGAACGTCAGGGTCAAACAAGGGACACATAACACCACACTCCACCGGCATGGCGGTAAAAAATATCCCGCTAGGCTAGCAGCACGGACCACTATCAGCGATCGATGAAAACAACGAGCATTAGCAAACAGTCCAATAAGGACACGATGAGGACAAACTACTCAACTAGGGACAAACTTACCAAATCGAAAGAAACCAATGTATGACTACCTGTCGCGGGTGCGACCCAAATTAAAACTTCCCCAGGATTCCAGACTCATGGATTAGGCTCCTGGCTGGCGGTAAGTAAAGCCTCCCGACTAACCGGTCGGCGGCGGCGCCGACTTTCCGCCCCGCTCGCCGACGTCCTCGCCCCGATCCTCGGCCGCCACCGGCCCAGCCGAATATTAGCATGCAAATACCGCTCGCAAATCCGCCGGAACGGAGCCAGCGCTGAAAACAGCCGAGCCAAAACGGACCCGTCGACATTGGCCTCTCCTTCTGTCCCAGCCGCTGTGTCGGTCGGTTTTCGGTCGAACGGTCGGAAAGAAAGCCAGACGCAGAGACAGACGGTAGAGTGGGTGGCCCCGCGCTTTGTCGTGCTCGTGGGAGGTTCATCACGATTCAGAAACATTGACAGCACATCTGTATGCCCAGCACAAAAATGGAACAACCACCACGACTGTAAAGGGGAGCCTGCATGCTAAGTGGCGGAGGGAAAGTTTGACAAGTGCAAAGACGGTGTGAAGAGTGCTTCGTCCTTGCAGTGTGCAAAATCTACGACATTCCGTCACGCCACGACCTAGTGAGAGGCCACCGCGACACGGAGCTGACCCGACAACCTGCCAGCGGGCCGCTCGTATTTTCTCGTCTAACAACAGGCCGCAACGGCAGCAGGTCCGCAGTGCCAGCCGTGGGCGGAGGCCGCGAGTCGTCCGTCTCCGCCGCGAGCACCGCCAGTGAACCGTGCCTATCCGCCGCGCGCAGCCGGCCACCGCCCATCCCGCCGGCCGGTCGGCACTCACTCAAACCGGCGGAAGGGGCAAACATAATTAGAGCCCTGATTATCCGTCGGTCATAAATTCCCAGTCAAGAGTCGCCGATCGGCGGTCGACCCGGGCGCAGTCGGGCGGAATCCGCCGCCGATAACCGTTCTTCATCTGTCTGCGCCGTCCTCTGATCCGCCCACGGTGCGGGCAGCGGCCTATCGCGCACGGCAGCCCGCTGCCGACTTTGATCCGCCTGCCGCCGGCCCGCGATCCGTCGGCGATTCGCCCACCATCTGTCTGCAATACGCCGACGCTTCTGTCAGGAACGCAGCTATAATGCGCCAAAGGCGTGTTCAGTTCAATCCACTTGACAAAAGAGGTAAACAGCGTCATATAATCTCGCAAACCTACCGTACGGTTCCTTGGAAACCAGCATTTTGGGTGCGATAATGTCTAGCCACTTGTCATGTGGGTTATGAAAAGTTTCGATGGCTGTAGCGATCTATTCGAGGTAATCACAAATGAAGGCAGACTATCTATGTCTCGATTCACTTCTTTACCTCAGCGACCCATGTGTTGAAGCCACATCGCTCTGAACACCTGCAAGGCTGCCTCCGCGACTCAAGAACTCCAAGAGCACGGTCGGCCTCTGCGGACCTCCGGGTCGGCCTCTGCGGACCTCCGGGTCGGCCTCTGCTGAACTCCGCCTCTGAGACATCGGGTGACCGCATTCCGTCTCTGCCCGACTCGGTCGGGGCAGATTGGCGACGGGTGTCCCCTGGGCGGTGGGCGGGTCGCCGGTCGACCGACAAGTCTTCGTACAGCACCGCTGGCAGGCGCCGAGGAATGGGACACACCCACCGGCCCCGCGCGACCTCCGCCGGCCCCTACCGACCGGCCTCGACCCGGCTGGATGGCAGGGCCGTCCCATCGGGACCAGGAGCCCGGTGCGTAGATCTGGACCGACACGACGCCTCTCGGTCGCCCGGCCACAGCACATCTCGAACCGCTCCCCCACGTCCGACGTAAATCACGCTTTGCATAAACGATTGCAGTGACACGCTCGCCTCGATTAAGGGGCAATAGATAAGGCGGCCGGGAGAAAAACGGCGTCCAAAGGTCAGATAGCGTCTCTCCGCTGCAGAGCAGCGCGGCACACAAGGCCGGCGCGACGCGACGCCTCGCGGAGAGGGGCCGCACGGTTGACCGTGGATGCGGAAGGAGTGTTTGCCACAATTAGCCCGCACGATGCACGGGTGTTGGTGTCAGCTCGCCACCGCAGCGGCTCGTGGGGGCCCATCGCGCAAGGCCGACTGTCGGATTAGGCAGATAATTGCTGCATTAAACAGACGGGTCATTATAACCGGGTAGCGGGGGCCGCACGGCACGGCAAGGCACGGCTACGTAATTACTCGGGTTAGAGAGGAAAGGAGAAGAGAGGAAAAGAGAAGATGGGAGAAGAGAGGAAAGCAAAGAGGAGAGCGGAGAGAAGAGGAAAACCTAGGACAAGAGGGGAGAGAAGAATTAGAGAGGACAACAGAGGAGATAAATGAGAGAAAGAGAGAGAGAGAGAGAGAGAGAGAGAGAGAGAGAGAGAGAGAGAGAGAGAGAGAGAGAGAGAGAGAGAGAGAGAGAGAGAGAGAGAGAGAGAGAGAGAGAGAGAGAGAGAGAGAGAGAGAGAGAGAGAGAGGTGTGAAAGACATGATAAACCTTGGTGTGATGATGTACAATGGCCAATATCTCCTCGGCTGCAGCCAGCAGCAGCAGCAGCCATCAATAAACAACCGAATTACGGCGTGTGGTTGATGTGGCACTGCCGACGTAAATAACGCGCAATGGTCACAAATGCTAATTGGCCTGCCGTTAAATCAGCTGATCGGAGGCTCGGGTTGCCGCAGGTAGCCGCCAGTGGCCTCTCGGTGATGGCCGGCTGGCCGCGGACCGGCCGGGTGAGGGCCGCGGACCGTCAGCCAGCACCGGCAGGCCGTAACTGTCCGGGCCGCAGAGTTATCCGCACTGGGTGTCACAGTCAGCCGACGCCGCGGGCCCCAAACCAATCAGCACTAAATTAATCTCGTTATTGGGACCGGCAACTCGGCCTCTGAAAGCCATTTGACGGTGATGGCGGCCGAAAACAACATCATTGGCTTCGTTAATCGAGTGCCCGGGCGAGGCGGAAGAGCCGACGGTAGCAGCCAGCCGAGCGGTGAACGCAACTGTTTCTTCCTAACCCGTTACCGGTCTAGGAACACGCAAGTTGGTTGCATGAGACACCTCGACAGCCGGCAAGGTCATAGCTGAATTGGTCTGTAGAAGGCTGATAAGAAACAAGCGGCTACAAACCCTCCGTGACACCCAGAAGAGGTCAGTTCTGAATGGACATGTGTAGATAAGCCTGAGTGGAACGAGCTTCCACGTGCCGCCCAACATAGCTGACCTATAGCTGCTAGCGGACCCCCGCAGTGTTGCACGATAAGCCATTGTGACGCCAAAGTCAGTGGCAGGGTTGGGCCGTGTAGCGTTGGGACAGCAAAGACGTCCAAGTCGACACACTCGGCGGCCAGCGCACCGCGTCAACCTGTCGGAAAGAACGTGACCACAAGGCGGGGACCTTGCAACACGCCAGGCTATTCACTGTTCCGACTTACTTGTTCTCCAGCGAGCACCAGCCGCAGTAGGGGTCCTTGGCGCCCAGACATTCCCCGCATGTCCTGTACAGGTGACACTCCTGCACCTTCACCTTGGAAACCTGCAAAGACAAGAGGCGCAGTGTCAAACGGACAGCCACATACCGTAATTTACAGCCAGAACATACATCACAACTGTAGAATCTCTGTAAGAACACGCTGGATTTCGCCAGTGTTTTCCGGTGAAAGCTCTTTGCAAAAACGTTTTACTCTTGTGACAAAAACGCTATTTCTACTTTACCACAGTGGCAAATGCACATTTGGCATATCATCGAACCTAGCCTGGCCATTTGAGAGCTGGGCGGCTTAAGGCTGCGATTTTTCAGCTGGGTGACAGAGGCTCCGTCGGAATTCAAACGGCCTACTCAGTCGCCGCCAGTTGGCCACTGGAATCGCAGGGACTTCACCTCTACCACAGTCGGTCACCGGAACTGTAACGGCCCCAACTCCGCCCCAGGACTACCGCTGACCCGACATCACATACTGCCACAGGCGTCAGAGCGAGCTGCGCCTCTACGCCGGGGTGTTCCCTGCTGTCAAAGGAACACTGGCGCACCCCCATCGATCGCCACTGAGGAACCACGAGAGCCCGGTCTCCGGTCTCCCGTCCGGGCGCACACCCTTCTCCACCAGCCATTTCACAGCCGTTGGAGTTCGATGACAGCTGGATGGCTCTCATCACAGGCCCCGAAAACGCAAAAATAATTCATGCGCGACATTTATGGCCCAGGGAAAAAGGCTCGCCCGTCGCAAAATCGATGTCCGTAAATTCACTCTGGCGCACGCCCCAGCGCCCAGCTGACAGCACGAACTATGCTGGAAAGTTACGATGATCATGATCAGTACCGCGGCGAATTCTATTCTAACGCCCACAGTCGAACAGATGGCGTCAGTGAAAGTTGCGCGGGCGTAGTTGTAACATAACACACCACTTACATAGCACATCAACGCTTTCTGACCTCATGTCCCCGTACAGATTTGCATCCAGATGCTCTTGGAGGACGGGTGAGCGAGCCGATCGAAGCTCTCCACGCTGGGGCGGGCCGGGACGGTCCGTAAATCACCCAGACACCCGGTCTCTCAGGTGGCCAGGTTATGAAGCCGGCTATGTAACGAATGGTCCAACTATCGAGCCGGTTCGCCGGCCGGTCGGCCTGATTGCCGAGCCAGTCAGAGGGCCGACCTTTGGCGCTGAGATATGCAAACTGAGCTGAGCGAGAGTGAGGTCTTCACCAGAAAATTGGGTACGACCTGCGGACGTGGAGCCATGGAGCTACGAGGTAAGGAGCCACGCAGTCACGCACCTGCAGACAGAGCTGAGGACCGCCAACCGGATCACAGAGCGCGCCGTCGGCCCCGACGACCGACGATTGATGATCGCTCAGGTGATCGCCTGCCCCCATCAGCAACAGCCCGGCGCGATAATGAAATGGCTCACAGTCAGCCGAGAGGAAGCAGATTTAGCCGATGGGACTCTCTTCCCTCCTGCAATCACCATCTTTTTAGACGAAGAAGCCTTTGTCTCAGCTTCGGCGTTCATAAAAATAACAAAGAGCCTCTTTGGTTCCCAAGCAGTGACATAACGCCTCCACGGATATCCCGTCTCGTAGGTTTCATTCCGCGTCGTCTGCCGCCGTTTCTGAGAGCTGGCGACATTACCCCGGGGTCCCGCGGTCCCCGCCGCAGTTCCCTCCGTCCCCGCCAACTCCCGGCAGGTCCGTTCAGCCGCCGCCATCGGCTTAGCAGGACCAGCTCCGGAGGCGCCGGGCTCTCCCTGACGTGCTCTAACTCGGCACGGCGGCGCCATTTACGGCCAAATCCCCCGGCACATAAACAGTTTCATTCTATCGCCATCATCGCGCAGTCGTCTCCCTGCGAGGTGCATCTGCTCCGAGCACCATCGCCCCGAGCACAGGGCCCTCGGAGCAGCCAACGGGGTCGATTTCAGTCGGGACACAGGGGCGTCCTCAGCCGAAACTCCATAAAACGACACACGCTCGCGGAAATGAGCCACCTTTTTCAATTCGCGACGATTCCATCTGCATAAATCGATGACAAAATAATAAAGGACAGAAGAGAGCTGGGAGCAAACTCAAGACAAAAACTCCAGAAGATGAAAGACGGACCGCGTCCGGCAGCACATCCCTCCGGGCGGTCGGGCGCTCCTCAGCCGCCAATGACTCCCTGCTGTCGGCGGTGGCAGCCATCACTCTGCCCCTCCCCCTCCCCTCAGCCCGGGACGGACCATTATCTTTCTGCGGCACGAGTGCCGTAATGGTAAGTTGGCAGCAACAGAGGGCGGAGCCGGCCGGCTGATCCAACAGAGTGGCCGGCGCGAGTCGGACGAGTCATTGCCGCTCCGCTGGAGGCAATGACTCTGCCCGACACCCGGGCGGCGGCGGTCGGTGCGGGGGCGGGGGGGGGGGCAGCGGATGGGGCGTGGCCGGCGGCTAATAACCCGTCGCTCGGACGGCCGCCCTGACAGCGTGACAACGCCAACGACGGCCAACATGGGTTCCACCTCGAAATGAATCCGAGCCCACCGCGCTGCTACGATCTAACTCAATCGTACACCCTTCCAATATAAGTTTACATGAGTCGCATTGAAACTCGCCGAGCTCGATTGACACAATGCACCCGGTGAGTAGATAGGAATTCGCGGAATGCAAACAGGATCTCTGGCGGTCACAGGGTCGGGGCTGGCCCCCACCCACCCCACCGTGGGAGAGTTGGTTGGGCCGGGCTGCGCACGGTTCCAGTCGGGCTGAGCGGACACCTTGGTCAGTCAGGGCGGGTCTAGCGGCTTCCACGTCAGTCACAGACCGCTGAGAGCGCAGGTAAGTCGACTCATGACCATGCTGTTTCCCCTGGTCACCCAAAGCTAATCCTTTCCGCAACACTAGCTAGCCACACTGGCAACAAGACTGGCTAGCCGCTCCCCCGACAGGCTTGGACACCCCGCCGTACTCCACGGCCATGCCGGTCGGAACCGCTGGCTCAAGCATGCAACAGGGCGGCATTTTAGTGGATTCGCAGATATTTCCTGCAGTTTAAGCTGTATCCAATGAAAAACAGTCCAGGCGAAAAATCGCCGTGCATGGGCGGCTGTAAGTCGGTCCAATCACCAAAATCGCGGCCCGGTGCCATCAGTACGCGGAAACACGGCCGAGGTTGTGCAATACTGCGGGCGTAAAAACGGAGCCAACGATATGAGACCCGATAAAACTGTGCTAAAGCTTGCTTTAAATTCCTTTACGCGACAAAGATGGCGAGTGGCGACGGGTAAAATGCAGCATGCAGGAGCGTCAGGCGATGAATGCGCGAGAAACTGTCCTTGGCCTGAATCAGGTGACAACGGGGTCACATAAACAATAGCATGTGTTCTTATACCGGCGCCCAGGCGGCATCTGTGGACTGTAGATAGGCTAGGTCCCTAACGACGCGGCGACACCGTTCCCCAAGTGTCTGCGGTGCACTTATTTGTTTTACCACGCAAACATGACGACTTGAACGGACAAAAACGTCTAGGGCCGGGGGCGACCTCCGCGCCCCTCGCGGCGGTAGGTGTAACTAGCCGGCAACTTTTCTGCCACCTCCTAGGGGTTCTGCTCTTCCGGGACGCGGGCGGACCCGTCTCATCTATCTCGATTAGGTTAATTGATGAACAAGAGGCTGCGGCCGGGCGGCATGAGAGGCCCCGCCGCCGAGGTCCCCCGAGGTCCCACGCGGCGGAACCGCCGCCCACCGCCCTCGCCCCCCAGGGGCCCTGTCTGCATCATCATTATTCACCAACTCCACCACGCTGCGAGCTGTCAAATCAGCCAAGGTCGTCTCCTGCACCACGCGTAGGTACGGACAGTCCGGTGGGCGGTGACATCCCATTTCCCAGGTCCAGCATTTCTAACTGCCGCGCCGCTGCCGCCAGACGACCCTCCCAAACCGTGCAGTGTGGAGCTCACGCTAAAGTAACGTGGCAGCCACCGGGGAGCCTCACTTCCGGGAAGTTGGGCGTACTTCCGGGCGGCATTCTCCAGGGAGAGCGGCCGCCGCGCTTCGTTGCCGAGGCACGACACCTGTGTCTTGGCGCGGGAGGGCCCTGGAGACGGTGGAGAGGCGGGATATGAGCAGAACTCTTCTGGATGTGGTCTAGACGGGGACATCAGCGAGCAAGTGCTGATACTAACATGACTATCGATATGAGCGAGAAGACTAGTTCCATCGTGGTGCTGGTTTGCAGTTATGTGAGCCGCAGTTTGAGCACAATCGGTGGTCGATGTTCAAGTCGAGACCGGAACGGACGTTCGAGCGTTTATTTCCGACATGCAGGCCGCGTGGCAGAACGCGACACAGCATTTTGTGCCGGTGTGATGGCGACGGGCCACCGGGCGAGGCCTGCCCGGCACCGACCACCGACTGAGCTGAGAGGACCTCCAGACCACCCGGCGGTCCGCAGACCACCAGACCAGACCGGACCAGACCACAGACCACCGGCGCAGGGCGATCGATCCGGCGCGCTCGGCGGCAGACCCGGCTCCGCCAGCTGACAGGTCGCGCCGCGGCCGTGTCCGAGCCGAAAGCCATAACTATTAATTTAACGACATCCGTTGCGATCCTGGCCAAATAGACGACGACATAAGCTTCGGACTGGGCCCAGGACAATGGCTGCTACCGCTCCGCGCCGCGTGACCCGAGCGCCGCACATTGTTTCTCAGGTAGTGCCGGTGGCGGCGTTATTTCAGGACTGCAAAGCCCACTTCACAAAAACTCGCGGCGTCATCCACTTTTGCGATCTTTCACATCGTTCCGAGGCGTAAAACTTTCAGTTGGAGGTGTGTTCTGGCTGGCAGAAATTCAGTACAAAAACAAGTCGTAATTCTTGGCAGGAGCAGCCAGGAATCATCACCGACGCCGCCCTCCCTGAGGAGCCCGGCACGCGCCGCAAAAACACGGCCCGCCGCGCCACGTTTGTCGATGTTGCGCCAGAATGGCCGAGATTATTGCCGCCGCAACACCGCGCAGGGTAAGGTGTTTTTACGTTGTTCTGTTTCAGTTTTCTCGCTCC